ATTAACACGACCTCGGAGCCTATTAACCCGGACGAGAATTGAGTGCGCTGAAGCTCATCTACGTACCTCGGACGACCACTGATGTTCTTGCTGCATCGTGGCTTCTAACTCCATCACGCCATTTGCCGACGACGGCTGCGGGCGGGTTGGACGTGCGCTCGCCGGAGCCCGTACCATCGATCAACCGAGCGGCGGCGTGTTCACCACGCCGCCACCTACTGCCTGTCCGGTGGACGATCGAACCGTCAGCCACCGCGTCGCGCGTCGAGCTCGCGTGCAACGGACGCGGCGGCGACCAATCACACGGTTAATAATACCCCAATAACTATGAAATCTGTTAATAGTATAACCGCATTAACGTGTTCTACACGTGCAAGCTTACATAACATCTACCTTAATTACATACTTATACTCGTGAATTACGTAGCGCTCTAGTGCAGGTATACACAGGTGAGCGGAGGGTCAAGACAGCTCATTGAGCGATACACTCATCAATAATGAGGATGTACTGCCTGACTGTCTTCAGTGTCTCTACTCACTCGTCGAACTAGTCGCCCATAAAATTGTCGACTCCCCGAATCTCGGCACTGCGATAACACACGACGCTAAGGGCAGCGTCATACTATTGATCGCCCGAAGGTCAGGCGATCTCAAATCCGACTGCACAGGAATATCATTTTTCCAATTGTTTGTTTCTTGCTCGTAGCATTGCTTATTATTGCTGACACCTCAACGTGTACATCAAGCGGCTCCTCCTAGCTCGACTACCTGCTGCTTGAGCTAGTCGCTTGGACAGCCTGGGTCGCCCTTAACTACATACTACCTGCTGCTGCTTCAGCTGCTATACTCTAACTAAGCTAGCTAGCTCACTGGGACGGCTACTGAGCTACTGCTACACTGCTCACGACGAAGGCGCGCGCACTCACCTGGACTGCGTCGCTGCTACTCCTCCTCGCGAGACGCCGTATGTGTGTCTGGTGTGTGTGGAGGGGCCGGGCTTGTGGTGTTGGTGGGAGAGCTCGTGTGGAGGTGGCTCTGGTAACGGTGAGGTGGTATAACAGGTGTGGATTTATATTATGTCCGCGGGTGTCAATGTCGTGGCGCTGTGGCGAATGTGTATCGATATGTGTAATGTGTGGTGTTATGCGCGCGTGGCGGTTGCCGGCTGTGGTATCTGTTGTGTGGGCACAGCCACGGAACAGGCGTTGTGTAGTATAGTATGGTATGTTTCTTGCTATAAAAGATGCTATAGACTGTATTGCTCAAAATGTCACATAATTATATATATACGTATTCGTGTAAGAACAGTGATCGTGTGTTTAATGTAGGAACACCTCACGACAAAGGTGGAATATAACGAGTGTGTTATCTGTTTGTCTGTTTTCTCAGTGCTTCTACTACGTCCATCACTACTTCAAGTCGACTGAGACATCCCGGCCACTCAGAGGATGCTACTGAGGCTCCCCCTGTGCGGCCTGCGCTCCACTCGCAAGCATAGCGTAGTGACGGCTGCGTCCGAGGTAAAAAAATAATCTTGTAGTTGTACAATATTGGATCCCTCTCTTGCTGTCCGTCTGGTTTTGTTGTACTATGCCTTGTCTGTCTCTCTCGCTCTCTCTCGGCTCCTCCTCCTCGCAGAGCGACTCGAAAAGAGGCGCGCGAGCAACGAACCTGAGGAGCGGGAGAAAAGAATGGCAGAAGGACAGTTCGCCCGTGCACAAGCGTAGATCCGGAGGGGGGTGGAGGGATTCCCGAGTATGATGATATCGATAGTACGAAGATACCGAGAATAATAGCATGGCTCTCCTCTCTCTCTCTCGACGCTCGCAGCCAGGGCAGGATACATCAGGTAGTGGATACGGTGCGCAACTGATGGTGGAGGGTGAGGAACGCCTTGGAACAAGGAAATGAAGGTGAGATAGAGAGGAATTGTACGACGGATCGGAATAGGTTGTGTATAATGGTAGTGCAAGCTGCTTGACTTCTCGAGAGGAAGGCTGTCGTTCCGACACGCTTGTAAAAGCAAAACAGAGGGGGACGGCGAAGAGATCGGGCAGATGAGACCGCGGTAAACTGATGTGTTACATAATCTTAGGGAGCCAGAAAGAGGAAGATGAGGTGCCTCTCGTCTCTCTGCTCTCTCTCGGCTCTTTCTCATCTCTCAGGTCGCTCTCTCCATGCTCTCTCCTCTCGTCCTCTCTCTCCTCTCTCTCTCATCTTCTCTCTCTCTCCTCATCCTCTCTCCCCTCTCTCTCTCTCTCGGTCTTCTTCTCTCTTCCTCTCTCGTCTCTGTTTGTCCTCTCTAGCTCTCTCTCTTTCTCTCTATCTCTCTTCTTTCAACATTCTCCTCTCTCTCTGCTATCCTCTCTTCGTCTCGCTCGCTGGCTCTCCTCACGGCTCCCTCCGTTGTCTCTTTCTCTCTCTCCCTTCTCTCTCTCTCTCTCTCGTCTCTCTCTTCTCTTTCTCTCTCGTCTCGTCTCTGTTTGTCTCTCTTCTCTTCTCTCTTACTCTCTTTTCTGTGTTTGTCTCTCTCGATACTCCAATAGCTCCTCTACTTCTCTCGTCCGGTCTCTCTCTCTACTATTAATTAATACTAGAAACCGTAAAAGGTAGACAAACAGACACAAAGAGAGAGTACCGGGTCTGTATATATATGAGAATATTATAGAGACGAGATAGATATTATAATATCATGATAAGAGATGGTGAGAGATCATGAAATATGATATGGTATTATAGCAATAGAGTGCCCCTATAAGTGTCTCTGATATTTGAACACATCAGAATGGTGAAGGTAACGTTTATCAGAGTAATAAATATAAAAGTCCTTGCTAATCTACTTGATGTAGTAACTCTCGAATGTTTCACATTGTACTTTTTTTTCTCCCCCAGAACCTGTTTTGCTGCACTCAAGGACCCCTGCATCGTTTACTCCACGTAGCTATAGGTGGCGCTATGCTGTTGCTGGTCGCTGCGGCGTTGTACATTTCTGAGGCGGAGTTGATAGAGTTTGTGATAGAACAGTGGCGCTACAGACAGCACACGACAGAGGCGCACGAGAAAGTTAGCTGATGAGGAAGTTATCGTCGCTTTACTAATAATAATGCGCGTAGAAAACGAGTGTTTGTTAACGTAGCGAGTTGGAAATGTTCATCTCGCGATGATGCACTTACTGTGATATTATTTAGTGCGTTGCTTTACTACGGCAATGCTAAGGAGTGAATCAAAGTATATAAAATGTATCGAGCATTGCAGACGCATTTATGTTTACATTAGTTCGCTAATCACTCGATGTGCTATTTTTCAGCCAATAAAAAGCATTTACAATAAGACAAAATTGTAATAGATGTTAAGATATTTCATTTCTACTATTCGTGTGATATATCCAATGGATTTCCGTGAATGAATATCCGTTCTTTGCATAAATCATGATGACATGGTGCCCACAAAAGTGTAAACTATTTTTTCAAGGACATTTCAATGACATGTTTTTTTCAAGGACATTTCAATGACATGTTTTTTTCATGGACATTTCAATGACATGTTTTTTTCAAGGACAATCTGTGACAAGTAGTTTTAGCATTTTAGAGTCATCATATATACCTTAGATTCATATATAAAGTAAAAATAGTTGTTTTACACGAGTGCCGAAAGCATATTAAATAGCCGCTATAGCTCGCCGATTACCGACGTACACAATAGTCGTTTCATGTTGTCATTCACGTAGATTCATGTAACAGTCCTGTAACAATATGTAAAGCTTTGATGTAACATGTATCACTCAGAACTATGTATCACACAATGTACCGTATCACTCAGAAATGTTATTATTTTAACTGCTCAACACTATTGCATTCATCAGATTTTTTTTTCATGAAAAAGTCTGTCTTCAGTACATGTATTTGTAGTGGAAATACAATGCAATAAAGATTTAATAATAATAATAAACAGTTGCCGGTTCTTTATGCTGACCTTTCGTCTGCTGTGTCAGGCAGTAACATTAACATTGAACAAAAGTAATCACTTATTCCTTACTCCCCTCTCGCGGATGGTATCGCCCACGACCAGTCAAGCATGGAAAAACTTTTGCAGGTAAATGGCCGTATTTCAGCCTCAACTTTTTCATCCCCCGATGACGCACGTCGGCTTCGGACGTGACGCACGTCGGCTTCGGACGTGACGCACGTCGGATTCACCGTGACCGGTCCGTCGGCTTCGGACACGCTCGTGGCCAGCACGTGCATTCGTCCTTCCATGCGGGGGTGAGCCCCCTCACATCCCCGGGGATGCTGGGACGTGCCGCCGAGAGCAGAACGCGGGGATGCGATGCTGCGGCAGACCGAAATTCGTTACATATATATATATATATATGTGATTTTGTGTTTTATTCAGGGTTCCCTTGTCGGTGCTTTGCGTGAGCATTCTGGGATACGTCTGGGTGTCGTGGCTGGATCAGCCCGATCCAGCAGACATTCCGCATTACGGCGTCGGTGTAGCTGCGTTTGCTGTCTCCGTTGTCATGGAGATGATCTCACTTCCTCTGCTCGTCATGTCACAGGCGATGCTGTTCATTAGATTGAAGGTTATTTAATTAACATTTACAGTTAATAATTGGTTACAGCATGAATATATCTGTACAATAAATATCTAGGTATGTTCATGATTTAGTATATATATATATATATATAGTGAATATACATGAGTACATATTAAAAGTGTCATGAAACATTCCATTAGGGAATTGCATGTTCTATTCGTGATGTTTGGATAACTCGTCAACAACATATATGCTAAATGTACTACTCCTCTTGGTTTCATCGAAGTCTGGTAATTCAAACTAAAAACTCACTGATGTGGAAAGATATGCATGAGTCTCGATCAACTTCTATTTCTTCGGTTTTAATCAGACTTACCTGACATGAACCCTTTAGTTTATAAAAGAACACATATGAGTCTCATCCACAAATGCCCTCGGGTCAGCTCGACGTTGCTTCGCTCCTGGATGTTTTCTTTTACTTCAATTTTGTGGCAGTTTTTCCAGCTGGTTGTGTGTCTCCCCCGTTAATAAGGATGAATATATGTGTTTACAGGTGGTAGTAGAAGGGATAGCGATCATTGTGAGATGTGTGTTGACAGCTCTACTGGTCGCTTTCTACCCTCACCTTGGAATACTTTCCTTCTCTGTGGCACAGGTATTGTATTTCTTCTGTCATGGATTCACAATAACTTCTGTCTTGTGAGCTGGTGTTAATGTTTGCATAGTGTCATGAGTTTATAAGTTAGCAGCAAGCTACAGCAAGTAGCTGTAATGGGCTTTAGTGTATGTTGATACAGCTTCATATTATTATTTATCCTCATCATGAATTGGAGGTGTGATGGCGCACCCTTCAATACAATCCACCACGTATACAGGGTTCGTAGCGGGTCTTCCAAAGACTTATAAGTACTTATTTTGCCAAAAATAAAATAAGGGCCCTTATTAGTACTTATTTTTGGTGAAACCTTAGAAAAATACTTAATAGTCCTTATTTTTTCATTACAATATTTCATATAAATTGTTTTATAAACTGTTCTCGACTTTGAGTAAGAATTGTTGTATATAAAATACGGAATAATTAAATCTGCTGTGCAATTGTTATATAATATTATTAGTGTACTTTAATAGTCGTGATCTATCAGAAATCGCGTAAAAAAGTCTTATTTTGGCCCTTCAGAATGGGTCTTATAAGTTTTTCTTATAAGGATTAGGGTTAGGGTTAGGGAGTAGGCGTAGGCGACTCCCTAGACTCGTTAGTGAAGTAGGCGAGGTGCCGGTCCGGCATATTAGATAGTACCAGGTACGTTCCGGTATACCGGACCGCGTACCAGGGTACGTTCCGGCAGTACCCTGGGGGACATAGACCCTCTCAGCGTTACTTACATGCGTTTATTGTTTCAGCTCGCCTACTCGTTCACGCAAATGTCACTGTACTATGGATACTTCGTCTACATCACGTCGCCACGGTCGGACGGCTCTCACGACCTCCCGTTCGCCTCCGTGAGGGATTTCTTTCCCCGGAGCGCTCCCGGACAGGTCAGTCCTCAGTTTCCCCTCATCTACTCGCCTCGCGAGAAAAACTGGGAAAAAATTTGCAATAATTTCACTTTTTTGATAAGGTGTGATGCATTGTAGGACATTTTGAACACCAAATGCCCTGCTTAAATTGACTACGTCACGAATTTTCTATGGTGTATATTTGTAAAAATTTTGTTGCAATTTCTTTACATGAAAAGTAAGTACTAATGGGACTAAATGTATCCTCAAATTCTTACCTGATAAGATTGTTTTTCAACTAATTAAAAATCCAAAAAACTTGGACGATTTGATATTAGGATCCTGACATTAATTGCTTGCTATAGGCTATGTATGAGTCACGAGTGTATGTTTACATCGAACAATATAGTAAAATAGGAAATATAATGCAGCAATTTAACCGTAAAAAGTGAACAGAATTAATTACTAACCATTTGTGAAAAAGTGGAAATGTTTTTTTTTACTTTTACTATTTACGGTAACGTAATCACTTTAAGCATGGTTTTAATTGCTATTTAGGGTTCCCAACTCTGCGACTGGACTATAGCCACGTTAGTATAAAGTGTTTGCAGATCTGGCAATATATCGCAGTCGGCATCTGAAATTTGGTTCAGTCCCTGGATCCCTTCATCTACTCGCCTCGCGAGAAACAGAAAAATTTGGTGGTAATCGAATTTTACGTCGTGAAAAGGCGCCAGCGGAACATTTTGAATGCCAAACGCATGCGTGGGAGAGGCTGCCTGGGTGGTGTAGCTCTACCAGTGTAGCACCTTCGCTGCTCCCACTATACGGGGGCGGCAGTAGGGTCTTCTGTAGGAGGGGAAGCGGAGGGGATACACCGGTAGAGCTAGGTGGAAGCAAGGAGCTAAATATAACAAGGAGAGCAAGCAGATTGGTGGCTGTGTGCTTTTCGCCTCAAGGGCGCCATCTATGGACCATAATCAGCTGAAACGGCTGTGCAGACTGAACCCAGAGACAATAGAACACTAATCTGTTCTAGGGTCTCTGCCGAACCCAAATTTGGGCCAGATATGGCGGCGCTTCTTCTCCTTGTTATATTTAGCTTCTTGGGTGGAAGTTCGCCTACATAGAGTGAATGCTCACATAGTGACGTTCACAGGTTTGTGTGAGCGCGTGTGTGATCTGTCGTTCGATCATCGCAGGCCTGGATCAGCGGTGAGCAAGCAGCTCTGGTGTGGAGCTTCTTTCAGCAGGGATTCCTAAAGCAGCTGCTGACGGATGGAGAGAGATACATGATGACTTTCTTCAGCATGCTCAGTTTTGGCGATCAGGGTATGGTATAACTGTATAATGCAGATGTGTATTGTATGTCTGCAGTACATTGCAGGGTATTGTATACGGGATCATAGCTAGCCCATTTTGCCAGGGGGGGGGGGCAAAGCCACATGTGTGGTGTGTTCTGGAAAGGTTACCATCATTGACCATTTAATTTTTCTGTGGAGGCAACTGCTCCACGCCTCCCCCGCTAGCTACGGCCTTGGTATGTCATTATAAGTATATTACTATATTATAGTAGTTAGTATATTGCAGAGTTTGCACTAACCTGCAATTTCCGGTTGAAAAATATCGAAATGTATGTCTATTTTCACGTACTTTGAATAAAAGTTGCTTATTCGGAGATCTTGACAGGTTTAATTGCAAGTTTTCGGCGAAGCGTGATGCAAAGCCAGTTCTACGAACTAACGCCTGCGATTATGTTCCGCCGCGAACGTTCGTTAAAAGTTCGTTAAACGTTTGCTGTTGCAGGCGTTTACGACATCGTGAACAACCTCGGATCGTTAGCGGCGCGGTTCATATTTCTGCCAATAGAGGACGCTGGTTACCTGTTCTTCGCACAGATACTTGATAGGTCGCAGTCTGCCGTGAAACAGGAGAAGGTTGGTTAGCGAAGTTTCCTAAGGAAATACCTCTCGATTTTATATCGGCTAACAAGTGAAACTATAAACTAACTATTGGCTTGTGAATATTGAGTGAGATGAGTTACATCTGCAACAACAACAACAACAACATTAACAACAACAACTACAACAGAAGCATCAACAACAACAACAATAAATAATAACAACAACAACTACAACAGAAGCATCAACAATGACAACAACATTAACAATAACAACAACAACAACTACAACAGAAGCATCAACAATGACAACAATAAACAACAACAACAGCAATAACAACAACAACTACAACAGAAGCATCAATAATGACAACAATAAACAACAACAACTACAACAGAAGCATCAACAATGACAACAATAAACAACAACAACAACAACTACAAAAGAAGCATCAACAATGACAACAACATTAACAATAACAACAACAACTACAACAGAAGCATCAACAATGACAACAACATTAACAACTACAACAGAAGCATCAACAATGACAACCATAAACAACAACAACAACAGAAGCAACAACAACAACAACAACATTAACAATAACAACAACTACAACAGAAGCATCAACAATGACAACAATAAACAACAACAACTACAACAGAAGCATCAACAATGACAACAACATTAATAATAACAAGAACAACAACTACAACAGAAGCATCAACAGTGACAACAATAAACAACAACAACAACAACAACTACAACAGAAGCATCAACAATGACAACAACATTAATAATAACAAGAACAACAACTACAACAGAAGCATCAACAGTGACAACAATAAACAACAACAACAACAACTACAACAGAAGCATCAACAATTACAACAACATTAACAATAACAATGACAACAACTACAACAGAAGCATAAACAATGGCAACAATAAACAACAACAACTACAACAGAAGCATCAACAATGACAACAACAACAACTACAACAGAAGCATAAACAATGGCAACAATAAACAACAACAACTACAACAACTGCAACAGCAACAACAACAGCAGCAATAAAAACAGCAACAACACAATAACAAAAACAAAAACAACTAAAAATCATCAACAAATGCTCGCATTTTCTCGTTTCCTTTTTGTCAGTGCTTCCATTCACCAGATGTTTTGCCTTTATATCCCGTCACATGCAGAGAAAGGGAGAAGAACCTGTTGAATGTTAAAATTCTGGTACAAACCCCACGTTTCTCTAAGGAACTAAAATGGGATGAAGTTAATTAAAATTGAATGGAAATCTCGTGGAATGTGTCCTATACATATTGCTTGCGATTGTCTTCTGCAGGAATCGGTAGCACTGGCGGCCAGAGTTCTCCGACTCTTGCTCCACCTGGTGCTGCTTGTTGGAGTCGTGATTCTCGTGTTTGGGTACGCCTACTCGTATCTCCTGCTTGATCTGTATGGGGGCGCCACTCTCAGTTCCGGAACCGGTAAGAGTATCACTTGATAATACTGTTCTTGTGTGATTATTATTATATATGCATATATCAGGGGTAAATAATTTAAGAGTAAATCTCTCTTGAATTATTTATTCCTCATATATATATATATATATATGATGGATAAATAATTAATATATATATATATATATATATATATAATATATATATATATATATTATATAGTAAATATTCAATGACCAGCTGATAGTTTCCTAGTTTACAGTGTAAATGTGAAATATATAAATGTGATATTTTCCAGAAGTTAAACATATTAATTGAACTTTTGACGAGATTCGAGATGAAAAGTAAACCTTGTGTGTCGTTGCAGGTCCAAATCTGCTGAGGTGGTATTGTGTTTATGTGCTGCTTATTGCCATTAATGGAACCATGGAGTGCTTTGTCTTTGCTTCGATGACCAAGGAACAGGTTAGCAGGTTAGTGTGATTAATAACCGAGCTTGTTACACATGAATATATAAATACAAAAGGTATATAAATGTGCAAATATTTCCCGGTTCACCAGTAAAGTATCCATCCTTGGTACTTTCACGTTTTTATTATAGTTTTAAATGCAGCTACATAATATATAAATGCTATATAATATATGCTATATAAATGAGGCAGAAGCCTGAAAATTGTATACACCCATATATATATATATACATATACATAAGTTGCAGGCTTCCAATATATTTGTATAGCATAGCCTTTTTATAAACATGCCATCCCATTAAAAATCTAATTAAGCTATACACGTTTCACCCATGATGAGAGGCTTGCATCGTTATGCAGCCGGTAAACTAATCATACTAACATACTTACATTACATCAATTGCTAATGATACATACTTAATTACATACTAATTAGTGTAATTACGTACTGCAGGTATAACGAGAAGATGCTGGCATTCTCGATGATGTTCTGACTGCATCGTGGCTTCTAACTCGTCACCTAGGCAGCGTCGGCCTCATCCTAGCTAACTGCCTCAACATGATGCTGCGCATCACTCACAGGTACGTCGCTGTAGTTGTTGTTGTTGCTGCTGCTGTTGCGTGGCTACTGCTGCTGCTACTACTACTGTTTTGTTCTGCTGCTGCTTCTTCTCCGCTGCCGCTGCTACTGCTGGCTAACGGCTACTATACTGCTGGCTGTACTGCACTGCCTACTAAACTAATCGCTGCTCCCACTAACGACTACTGACGGCTGCTGCTGCTGCTGCTAACTCTTGCTGCTCTACTACCTGCTACCTACTGCTGTCTACTGCTGCTGCTGCTGCTACACTGCTACTACTGCGCTGCTCGCACTGCTGTCTGCTAGCTACTACGCGCTGCTGCTGAGCTACTACACTGCTGCTACGCTACTGCGCATAACTACTACTGCTGCTGCTGCTACTGCTACTACTACACTGGCTACTCCTGCTGCTGCGCTGCCCTCCAGTGCGGGTGTAGTGTGTGGTGGGTGGTGGGTTAAGGTGGCTGTGGTGTGTGGTTGGTGGTGGTTTGTACGTGTATAACATATGGTGGTTAGCGGCATGTCATGGTGTGGGACATGTGATATATATGGTGAATGTGTGTTGTGGCGTGCGGTGCGGCGTGGTATGGTGGTGAAGCAACGGAACAGCGTTTGTACGTATATAGTCATGGTACGTGTTCTGCTATAGTGAAATGCTTATTATGTATTTGCTCAAAAAATTCACGATATTTATATATACGTATTCGTTAAAGAACAGTGATGTGTGTAATTAGGAAACACATCTCAACAAGAGATTTAAACGAGTTGTACTGCTGTCTGTTTCAGTGTTTAATACGTCTATTCACTACTTCAATGTCGACTGAGCACCGCCACTCAGAGACTGCTACTGATGCTCCACCCTGTGGCCTCGCTCCCTACGCAAGCATCGAATGACGCGCGCCCGAGTAAAAAATAATCTAGTTTTTACAATATGGGGGGAATTTCCTCATCTATGTGTCCGTCGGTTTGTGTCTTTGCCTCCTGCTTCCTCTCTCGCTCAGCTCATCGCGCTTCGCCTCTCTCCTCTCTCTCTCCTCTCTCTCTCTACTCTCTCTCTCTCTCTCTCTTTCTCTTTTCTCTTCTCTCTCCTCCTCTCTCCTCTACGCTCTCGCTTCTCCTCTCTCTCTCTCTATCTCTCTCTCCTCATGCTTCTCTCTCTTCTCTCTCTCTCTTCTCTCAATCTTACTCTCTCTCTCCATCTCTCACCCCTCTCATCTCTCTCTCTCTCTCTCTCTCTCTCTCTCTTCTCCCCCCCCCTCCTCTCTCTCTCCTCTCTCTCTCTCTCTTCCCACCTCCTCTCTCCGTCTCTCTCATGCTCTCTCTCTCTCACTGTTGTTTGTCCTCTCTAGCTTCTCTCTACATTAAATTTAATAGTCTAGAAAACCATAAAGTAGCAACCAGACCACAAAGAGACGAGTGGTCTCTGATAACTTATAGAGAAGATATAGAGATATATAGAGATGAATAGTATATTATAAAATGATAAAAGAGATGGTGAGAGATCATTATAAATATGATATATATTTTAAGCAATAGAGTGCCCCTATAAGTGTCCTGATATTGTGAACACACAGAATGGTGAAGTTAAACGTTATCAGAGTATAAATAAAAAGTGCTTGTGCTAATCTACTTGATTGTAGTAAACTCTCGAATGCTTGTCCAACATGTACTTCATTTTCGCCCAAACCGCTTTGCTGCACTCAAGGACCGCTACATCGTTTACCTCTCACGGCGTATAGTGGCGCTATGCTACTGGCTGGCGCTGCGGCGTTGTACATTTCTGAGCGAGTTGATACAGTTTTGTGATAGAACAGTGGCGCACAGACAGCCACACACCAAAGGCGAACGAGAAGTAGGCTGATGACGGAGTTATTCCGTCGCTTACTAATAATAAAGCCTGTAGAAAACGAGTGTTTTTAACGTACGAGTTGGAAATGTTCATCTCCGGCGATCATGCACTTACTGTGATATATTTAGTGTGTTGCTTTACATACGGGCAATGCCAAGGATTGAAATCAAGTTATAATAAATATGATCGAGCAATTGCAAGACGCATTTATGTTTACATGTTCTCTAATCACTCGATGTAGCATTTTTTCAGCCAATAAAAACAATTTAACAATAAGCACAAAATTGTATAGATGTTAAGATATTCTTGCTAGCTAAGTCGTGTGATATATCCAAGTGGGGAAAAATTTTTGTTTTCCTTCCGGGAATAATACCGTTCTTTTGCATAAATCATGATGACATGGTGCCCGAGCAAAAGTGTAAACTATTTTTCAAAAGAATTTCAAAGACATGTTTGTTCCAAGACCTTCAATAA